ATGACATGGTTTCTGGATAAGGAATTGGAAACATTTTATATGTCTTCTGCTAGCCTGGATTACAGGACAAGTCCTGAGAGAATTTGGTTCAATGGGAAAATACCTTTCTACATAGCTCCTTGTTTTATCATCTTGAGACTGAGTATGTCCACACAGGGAAAACCATCTGGAGGATAACTGGAAAATCTAAAAAAAAAAAAAAAGTATTTCGCGTTTCCAGCTACATATGTATCTGCCTATATGGAGATAAAAACACCAAACACCAAACAGAGAATTAGTAAAAATTTCCTTACTCACCAAAATTGCTGTACCTCAGCAATTCCTTTTTTTTTTTTTTAACATGAATTAATAACCAAATGCTTCTCTCTAAGGGTACTGATTAGGTCAAATCAAGTGGAAATTTCCATCTTAAGAAGACCAAGTCCCAAACAACGCACCCGGAGCATAGTTCCATTTAACAGTTCCCTGGCCTCTTGTGTAGAGTAGACACTTCATGCAACATGTTGAAAGGCTGGGTCTACACTCTCCATTCTGCTCTATAATCCCACATGGACAGATGGGTCCACAAATAATGACTGAAATATCTAGTGTTAGAGTTGGTGAGGTGTAAAGTATTGGCTGAGCCATTTGTGATTAATAAAGCATGAAGTGTAAGTTGCTCAGCAGCCTTCAAACACAGCTTCTGTACAGTGTGACAATTAGCTAAAATGTGAGAACAAGAGCCATGAGATCTGAAAGCAAAATTGCAGACAGCTAAAGAATAACACCATGTATTTTCCACCAGGGAACGTGGTTAAGCATCCAAGAGGACAATCCAAGACAAATTCCATCTCTGGCAAGTGAGATTACCCGCCTAATTCTTTAACATGTAAGTGTAAAGACTACTGCTTTCTAAGAGATTAAATGTTTCTTGTCAAGACAATGAAAATCTCGGCTTCTCTGTTGCCATTTTTCATGTGCTTCATGCTTCCCTTTTTGCATAATTTAAGTGAGCTGTGCTGTTATGTCTCATTTCATTTATGGAGAGTCAGTTTCTAGTCATCGAGTGTTTGGGGGTATTTTTTGCATTGAGTCAAAAAGCAGAGCAGCTTATAAGAAAGGCAGGTCTTTAAAAATGTCTTTTCTCTTAAGAAAAGAGCATTGTTCAAATAGACTAACATTACTCAGCCTGGTTCTCACCTGTAATATGCTTTTTAATCCTGAAGCCAGAGCTCATGGGGCTGATGCCTGTGGATGTTGTCATTCCAGCTAGGAAGGATGAGTTCTTGCAGCAACATCTGTGGGTCCAAGCAGGCACAGGCTGCTACCGAGGGCAGGTACCAGCGCTACGGAGTCCGGTCCTACCTGCATCAGTTTTATGAGGACTGTACCACCTCAATCTGGGAGTATGAGGATGATTTCCAGATCCAGAGATCACCTAATAGGTGGAGCTCAGTATTCTGGAAGGTAAGAACAGAACATATTTGTAAGTGAAGAAATGGAAATGTTACTGAATATGGTAAATCCTGTAGCTAGGAAGAACTGAAAGGTCTGGTCCTCTCTGTGTGCATCCATCTTGATGATCCTAAGTGCAGTCTTCTTCCCTTAGGAAAGGAGATTATAACCTTGGGCTGAAGAAAGCCCCTGAACACAGCACAGTGGTTGATTTGCAGGTTAAACATAAATAGGTATAAATGTCATCATTATTATTGTTGCTACTGTTATTGATGTGCCGCTAAATTCACCAGCTGTGAAGCCACCCATAGGCAAAACGTTATATGCTTCCAGCCTCCCCTATAGGCTTGGTAAGTATCATTTGACAAATTGCAACAATTATTAAAAAGAAACCAATGGGTATTGAGAGTTGATGCTGAGACATAATACAGTGGTCAGTGTGCCATCTCTACCTCTACCAGATGTGATCATGAGGCTCTTTGAGCTTTAGCTTCTTCTCATGAAAGCACCTCATTAGACAGTGTACTCAGTCATTCAACATATAGTTAGTGAGCACCTACTCCGTGTCGAGAAGTTGCAACGTGCTAGAAATTAAAGTGATGAGAAGGAAAAGCCCTCGCCCTCTTGGAACTTGCAACCTATCAGGGAAAACAGACCGTAAATGAATAAACCCCGTACTAGAAGGTCAGGTGGTAACAAGTGCTGTGGAGAGAAGTGAATCAGGACAAGACGGTGGGGAGTGATGGAGGCGTGGTAGTTAGTGTGCTGTTTGTAGACAGCCCTTCAGAGGAGACAACATTTGAGCAAGTACCAGGATGAGCTGAGGGAGCAGACTGTAAGATGACCTGGCTAAACATCCTTCTGGGCTGGGAAAATAGCAAGTCCAAAGCTCTGAAATGGGAACCAATTTCGTGTGCTTGAAAAATAGTGAGAGTTCCAGAATGGCTAGAGTGGTGATGGATCCAGAAAAGTAACAGGACACAGATGATTTGTGTAGCACCTTGTAGATGATAATGAGGACATTGGCTTTTACCTTGAGAGATATGGGAAGCCACCTGAACGTTTTAAGCAGAGGAGTGACATGATCGGACTAATATTTTAACAGGATCGTGCTGACTACAGTTTGGAAAATAGATTATAGGAGGACAAGGGTAGAGGCATCCAGGTTATTTGGGAGGCTCTGAAAGCACTCAGGCGAGAGATGATGATGGCTTGGAGTAGGGTGGTGTTGGTAGAGATGGTGAGAAATAGTCTGATTTAGCATAAAGTTTGAAGACCAAGCTGTCAGGACATGTTGATGAAGTAGACAAGAGAGAAAGAAGAGTCAAGCACGCCTCAAAGGTTTGCATCCTGAGCTATTTACTGAATGATGTTATAATTTTCTGGGATGGAAAACACTGGGAGAGTGGTGGGAATGGTGGGGAACCAAGAGTTTGAGTTTGGCCACGATATGCTGGAGATGCCTCTCAGACATGTGAGTGGGGGTCTCTAGTGGTAATTTAAATGCAGCTCATGGATTGGGAGTCCCTGACATACCGAATACATAAGAGGCACCAGACTAGATAAAATGACCCAGGAAGAGAGTATTATGTGGGGCCTCAGGTCCCCTCCAGCTCGGGGAGCCCAATCATCCCCAACCTTCTCCCAAAAGATCCCAGAATGTTTTACATTGATGTTGACATAAACTTACAATTTATTGGCAATATAGTTTAACAAGAGGCAATGTCACATAATGCTTATGAGCATGGACTCTGTCCTCAGATTACACAGGTTCAAACCTCAGCTCTTAGCTTAACAGCACTGTACCTTTGGGCAAGTTAATTGACCTTAGTGGGCCCCAGTGGTGATGCTTATCACACCTACCAGGTAAAGTTGTGAGAATTAAGTAGGATGTCTTTATGCAATCAAGTATTCAGTGTATTAACTCCTACTATCAGAGGTCCTATGAAACATTGGATCCTGAAGTGGAAAGAAAATTTGAAATCTAGTTAATAAAGTCCTGGGCAACACAGCTGTTAACATGGATTACCCAAGACCTGTGTTAATTCAATATCTTACAAGTGTTATGTACTCTGTATTAAAATTGATCGAGCCAGCATCCTTGCCCTGTAGAAATGTCATCTCTGATGAATCCTTACTGGCCTGGACTGATGAAACACATAGCCAAGCTTGACACATCTTGTATTTACCCAGTTAAGTGGGTGGTTGCTTCCTTATGTGTCAAAAAAACAAATATTTGCCTGACAGATCCGTTGTGCCAAGAGCCTGAAATGCCACTGTCATACAGAATATTGAAACCATTCACACCGTTCCAAGGCACTACCAGTTTTAAGAGATTTGAGAAGCTATAAATCCATCAAATAATACGTAGGTATGGATTTAAAATAAAGAACTCACAGTAAATTACCAACCCCAGAATTCAAATTTCAGAATTCTCTCTTCTATTTTACACAAACAAGATTCAAAAGTATCTGTTCCCCATTGTGCTGGACCTACTTTAGGGACTAAAAACAGGCAAAAGTCCATGGCCTCATAGAGATTATATTCCAGCAAAATCCAAATCCTAGACTCAGATCCTAATCACAAAACACAAGACTGGCATTCAGAAGCTTAGAGTCAACCTGAATCACCTAAGAAGTCACTGTCTTAGAGACCTCCCCTCTACCAAAGGAATAAACTAAATGTTCTTTGGTTTCTTTCTAGGAAGGACAAGTGAATCCATCTCAGTGGGATTTATGAAATGATTTGTATCAGTACAGAGAAAGGCAATGATTATGCACATGTTTCTAATTATGATTCGTTTTTGTGATTTTTTTTTCTTTCATTTCAAACTACATCTGTGGGTGGTTCAAGTTATGGGCTTCCCCTCTCCCCATTCCCAATAAAGTGGTGCTAAGGGATTGTTGGTTTCTCGCTAGAGGCTAGGACGCTGCACTGAGCCAGAAGCTTGGAGGGGCTTAATGAGAATGGAGATTGGAGTCTAATGAGGTTGAGTTAAGAGTCTTTGCCCTGTCACGTGGGTCTATATAGCCTGCATCTCACAATGCTATTCATTCTTTCTTTCTACATATGTTAATGTGTCCACTATGTGTACGGTTATGTGATAGGCTCTGGGATTCATTTGTGAATAAGATGCTGTTCTTCACCTGTGACTTAGATACAGCCTTGACCTGAAGGAGTTCGCAAAGAGGGAAGGTGGACTTGTCCACAGACGGTTACAATCCAGCATGATAAACACTACCCACACACACACACACACGCACACACACTGTGTCTCACAGGGTCTACCCCCTGGCTGCCTCAGCCACACCTCCTTTATCCCAGTGCCTAAAACTCCTGCCACCTGCAAGTCTCTGTGACATGCTCCCACCAACCCCTTGCCACGCACTGCACAGGAATCAAACTGGCTGTGGTGGGACTTTTCTTCTTAGACTTGCACTCGACCTTGAGGAAAGCTGTTGCCACCTGATTATGCAGCAAATCACCTCAGTAAGGGAGGTCCAAACTAAGGAGAACAATCTCCTTACCCCATTCATGCTTTCCTCCCCTCAGAGTCACCCTCCTTCTTACCTAGAAACCTCTCAAACGGTGTCCCCACAGCAATGTGCAGGTATGAGGTAAGACTGCCTCCTCCACAGCCTCTCTGAACAGTAGAGACACTGGCCCCTCCCTTTTCTCCCAAGACCCTCCTCCTATCTGTCCTGATCTCTAGTTCCCCCCCTGAGCTAAGTCAGAGTTTAAACTTGTGTTAGATTTTTCTTCAAAGTTTTGCTAGAGGTTGCAGAGTTGGTTTTATACTAGAAACGAGAGGAGCTCAGTGAATGGGTGGATGGCAGGAACACAGAGAAAGTAGGAAGGAAGGAATGAAGGGAAGGGAGGGAGGAAGACAGGCAAGAAGGAAGGAAGGGGTGCCATTTTGAATATTTGGGGATTGAGGAGCCTTTGGGACATTTTTGTGTAGATCTTCCCATTGGCTGCCAGAAATACGGGGCTAGAGCCCAGGAAGGAAATCCAGGCTGGAGATGGAGATTGGAAGATGTTGGCATATAGGTAGTGGTTTAAACTACAGCCACACATTCAACCCTACAGAGATCATCTGGAACAAGAGTTGTGAATCAAGGGGAAACCCTGGGGAACACCATTACTTTAATAAACATCTGGCAAAACAGGTTGAGAGTGTGTTGTTAAGGATGCAGATGTAGAAACAGGAGAGAGTTATGTCAGGTGAAGGTTTTTAAGAAGACGAAAGTGTTTAACATCACTGCAGATTATTCGAAAGAGGTCACATTGGATTGGACAATTAGGAGGACTTTAGTGACCTCGGAGAAACCAATTTCAGTGAAATTGTGGGACTCAGCTTGAATATCAAGGGTTGGATGAGTTCAAGCTGTAGCTAGAGAGAGACACGGGGCTCTGGAATAGCTTTTGAAGATGGAAACAATCGAGTGCATTCCCATGCTGGAGGGACCAAGCCTCCATCAGGTGGGAGACCGAGCTCAGGGTACCAGGTATCATGCCTGGAGGGCATGGGCTGGGACCCCAGCCGGGCATCGGTGGTTGCTCCAGGAAGCTCGGTGTCCCTACAAGATGAGTTGCATCTGCTGTCACTGCCCACAGGGGACACCCCTCTGAGCCCAGGTCCTGCTCAGGAGAGGTCAGAGTGGGGCTGATGAAGAAGACAGGCCACACTTCCGTCTTGCTGTGCTTCCCCTGAGTGTTGCCTCGAAGCCAGATGGCTCCTTCCACCTTCCGCTGCCTCGGCTCCCCCACCGTCCTTCCCGCCACGCTGGTTCCCGCTTCCAGCGCTCATTACCACGTCCTCGGTCAGGGCAGCTAGGAAGCTCCTGCTGCCAGTCCCGCTTTGTTGGAGCAAACGGAGGTGTGTTCCGACCTCGTCAGCTCACACGGAGATGATGGTGGGGATGCTGGTCCAAGTCACGGCAGGTGCCGGCTGGCAGCTGCTGGATTCTCACACACCCTCCCCACAGCCAGGATGGCCCTTAGGTGTCACTGTCCTCGCTGCTGTCTGTAAGGTTGGTCGCAGCAGGGAGAGGCCCTTCTGCCTTGGCACTGGTCCGGCCCACCCACCAGCTGCCCCAGGCTGCTCGGCCAGGCCCTGTGGCATTCCAGCTCTCTGCATGGACCTCCACAGCGCTGTTTGTGCTCTCAGACGCTTAGGGACCCCTGTGTTGCCTTTTGTAAACTCTATTTCTTAGAGCCCCTTTTCTCTTAGACCGAGGACCACTTCAACTTAGAGCTGTGTCCTGAGACGGTTTTTATGGTTCTGTATGGCATCACTCCCCAAATCTTTATTCCTTCCGATCCTCCAAGATGGTACCAGGGTTAGGCAGATGCATCCCAACATCCCTTATCACCTCTGTCCCACACTCAGTTAAGAGAGCATCCTTTAGATCCCAAGACTGCCCCTCCACACCAGCCTCCCAAACCCTCCCAGACAGGTTTTCACAATGTTTAGGGTCCTCTCTGGGCACATGTCTTGGAGGTCTTCTTTGGACTTGCGTGGAGGGCACCTTCTGGATCCTGGGAGTTGGCTGTTCGCCACCATCATGCTCCCCTCCACAGATGGCAGGCCTCTCTCGGGTACTCTGATTCAACAGGGAAAAGGGAGAAGGCTCAGCGAGGCCAGCCAGTTTCCAGTTCTTAAAGTGAGCAGGGGTTCTGCCATCTGCGAGGCACGATTTGCCGTCTAGCTTCTGAGTGAGAGTCCAAGAATGGATTTTAATCTATAAAGCACTGCTCAGTTGAGGAGCAGGCTGCTCTGAGAATCAGTCACCTGGCTCCATATTGAGCAGTCTGGCCATTTAAGTTAGTCAGGAATATTTATGGAGCGTAGGGCAGGAACGAGAGATGCGGAGAGCAAGACAGAAATAGAAGACATGGAACACTGGCCTCAGTTGCTCTTAAGAACCTCAGAAATACGATGGATACATTCTTACAGTTCTCAGTTTTTGAAGATGAATGCCAATTCTTGAGGAAGAAGGGGATTTAGTAACATATGAAGCATGTCACCATGGATATTAATGTTAATTTAGCTTATGCATTCCGAATTTTCCAATGTGACTCATTTTTTAAGTTACAAAGAATGGTTAGGCTTTGGAGGTGAATTTGCCACTATTTTTAGAAAAATGTAGAAAATCATCCAAAATGTTATATTTTACAAACCCAACTTTTCTTATAGTACTTAAGTCTTATGTAGAAAAGTTTCCACTCTTTTCAGAAGACATTATATTGAGTCTGTTTTTTTTTTAGTTTCTTTACAATATTACAGAATGGAAATTTGTCCCTATATAGTGACTAAAACTCTGTGATAATTTTTAAAAAATAATAATGGCAGATAATATACAAAATAGTAATTGGATAGTAATTGGTGAAATACCATGGGAGAATAAAAGGGGAGTATGAGGCTTGGAGGTCACACAGACCTGGGTTAGAGCCCGTCACACCACCTGCTAGCTACGGGACCTTGAACTGTGCTTCTTCCACCCCACTCACCTGGGTCTCTTACAGGAGAAATGGGAATAAAAATACCTCCTTTTCAGAAGATGCTGCTGAGGATCAAGTGAAAAACATATCAAACACAATGCCTAGGTCATAAGAGATACTCAATAATACTAGCTCTTTGATGGATTTGTGAATATGTTTTCCTTCTATTATCCAAACCTTCTTTATTAGTGTATTACCCTAAGATTTAATAAATAAGTTAAATATATATGCTTTAAATTCAAAGCTCAGGATGAAATGGTGTTGTACATTTGGGTTTTTTTCCTACTTTGTCATGCTAACTAAAAGCAATTAGGAACAGGAGGAAATGTATTTAAATGTATTTTAAAAATAACTATATTAGCTGTTCTTCAAGCGCTCAGATTGTTAAAATGCTGTTGCCAGTCTAGCATCATTTCACAAGAGGTGCATTTCCAAATAGATGTAATAATAGCCACTTATTACAATGTATTGCTTCACCAGGCATGGGGCTAAGTGCCTTCAAGGATGGCCTCACTTGGTCCTCACCACAGCTCTGATTATCATTTAGCATTTTATAGATGGGGAAATTAACGATGAAAGTGTTTAAATAACTTTCCTTATATGGTTGAAGTACTAGTTGGCAGTGCCGGAACCCAAGCCTGAATCTGTCCGTTCCAAACCTCCAAACCACCCGATGGTAGGCAATCCTCTCCCTCTTCAGTGTGTTACATTGTATTCGACCTGGAGCTAATGCAGTTTCTCAGCAACCTGCTAGTTGTCATCCATCCTTGGGCCAGTGACCCACCCTCCTTGAGGTGACATTTCCTGACGTGGAAACTAGCAATTATGGTTCCTTCCCAGTAACTTGGGGGAAGAGGTGGTAGTTACACAGATTGCCAATGTCCTTCATCCAAATCACCAGGAAACATACCTGTACGTTGGACAAGTTGAGCTGATCCCTCATCACAGTGAGAGAGGTGACACCAGAGGGTCTCCTGGGGTATTTCAGTAAGAATATGAGGAAGGATGTGTTACAGGACGTGGGCTTTGGGTGGGCAGAGTGGAGTTCACTCTGGACTGTCAGGGCCAATTCTATGATTGGAAAATAAATAAATAAAATAAATCTTACCACAGGGAGGGACAGACTAGGGTAAGACTAAAGCTGTAATGGTAAAGAAACAGCCGTTGTTCGTACTGGGGGGGTGGGGAGAGGCTGTGGATATTTTGTGCTTTGCACAATGACCCTGTTTTTGTCTGTTAGACAAAACGATGAAGCGAGGGCGCCTGGGTGGCTCAGTCGGTTAAGCAACTGCCTTCGGCTCAGGTCATGATCCTGGAGTCCCGGGATCCAGTCCTGCATCAGGCTCCCTGCTCAGCGGGGAGTCTGCTTCTCCCTCTGACCCTCCCCCCTCTCAGGCTCTCTCTCTCATTCTCTCTGTCTCAAATAAATAAATAAAATCTTTTAAAACAAACAAAAAAAAGAACGATGAAGCAGGCTTGTTTCGTGTCCCTCCATGACGGGCGCGGAATGAGGTTGTCCTACATGGACATGCTGTGTCACAGATTACATCCATAGGGGAACAGCTTCTGAGAGCTCCAGGACCTAGTGGATAGAGTGAGGCTCTTCCCAGGTATGAGGGCCGCTTTGCTCTTGCTCAAAGTGAAGGAAACAACCTAAACCAAAGGTGGCTTTGTCAGCTGCAAAGCTTTTTACGAAGAGAAAGCTCAAAGGAAAAATCAAGGCAGTGCTGCCGTGTCTGGTTAAAATCAGAAAGGGCGTCCTTTCACCTTTTTTCATTAGGAAATGATCACAAATTTGGGGTGCTCGGGAATATTAACTGCTCCCAGAAACCGAGTCCTGCTCTGGAGGGCTCAAGAGAGCCGAAGCACTGAGCTTACCCTGTCTTGCCTCTCTGTGTCTTTCTCCAGGTCGGACTCATCTCCGGCACAGTCTTTGTGATTCTTGGACTGACTGTTCTGGCTGTGGGCTTTCTGGTGCCCCCCAAAATCGAAGCCTTTGGCGAAGCCGACTTCGTGGTGGTGGACGCGCATGCTGTGCGGTTCAACAGAGCCCTTGACGTGTGCAAGCTGGCCGGGGCCATTCTCCTCTGCCTCGGGGGCATGTCCATGGCGGGGTGCCTGCTGATGTCAGTGTTCGTGAAAAGCTACTCCAAAGAGGAAAGGCTCCTTCAGCAAAAGTTTAAAGAGCGCATCGCAGACATCAAGGCCCACACCCAGCCCATTACAAAAGCCCCGGGCCCCGGGGAAACAAAGATTCCCGTCACTCTGTCCAGGGTTCAGAATGTCCAGCCTGTTTCAGCAACCTGAGACACCTCCCACCCCAGTCCCCCCCCTCTGATTACATACAGTGTTCATCCACAAGGAGCGGGGCCGGCTTTGGAGATGATGGGGCTAGGGCGTTGGCTGGCCCCAGGGCGGGGCTCGGCTGCAGGCGGCTCAGGGCGTGAGCTCATATCGGCTCGGTTCCAGAGGGGCTCCGGAGGAGGTGATGCCCATGGAGACCCGTGCATATGCACCGAGCTGCTTCAGGGGTGTTCTGGGTGCCCATCAGGAGCCCCTGGGAGCTCCCCTCTCAAATATCGTGACTCCCTGTCATTTCCCCGCGTTACTGGAGAGCGCCCACCAGTTTAGACCAGATGACCAGTGGCTAACGTGGTGTGTTTTATTTTCTAATATCCGTTTCCTGATCTTTCTTGTGTGGTGCTGCTTCTATTCCTGTCTCACTACGTGTAAGATACTGTTGTGTGTGTTCATAGAAAAATCGAGCTCCTTGATTTTGACCCAGACGTTCGTCTTTTAACTCAATCTTCACATGAGGTTACTGAGATTGTATACAAATTTATTGGAGTTCTCTGCCAATCTTCTTTTGGTTTTGTTTTGTTTTCTCCAGTATTTTCACTTGAAAAGCTAAAATTGCCAACTTTAGAATCTTGGGGAAGAAATTAACATTAGGAGTATCTATGCAGTGTCCAAAAGCCGGAGAATGAGAAGCTACTACTACCTAGCTGTGTGACCTTGGGGGATTCGTTTAACCTCCCCCGGCCTCAGTTTCCATCTATAGGACAAAGATCCTGGACTGTGGTGTCTGAGGTTCCTCTTTTGCCGTGTGTCATCATGTCTCCCCGGGGCCATGTTTGCGATCTCCCCGGGGCTCTCACCTTGGTGGGACTGTTTGTGATCTGGACTCCCAGAAAAATCTCCGAATCAGCAGCTACTCACCTTTCAATATCCAACCCCAGCAGTTTATACAGTGCTGTCGTGTTTTTATAAAGACAAAAGTAAGCCATCCTCAAATAAGAAACCCGTGAGTAGATATTAACCTTAAAAAGGGTTTTCTTCCTCAAATAAGACATTTTATTCTCCAGCAAGATGCTCATCTCACCCCTATGCACTTTTACTTAGTCTGTGGATTTAAGCTGGACTAAGGAACACGTGACCTTGGTATTCTCTCAGAAATTGTGCCACCTTCGAGTTCTGTCTCTCTTCTCTTTCTTCCTTCACCGGATAAATAAAATATGTGACCGAGCAGAACCTGAGTTGCATTGTCATTCCTTCACCGCGGCTGTTTTCTCTCCAAGGAGCGAGCCTCCATCCTGAGGCCGGGTGGGCGACCTCTCACGTTCCCCTGGCAAAATGGAAGAACAAAGCAAGAGATCAGTGCCCTTGGTGCACACTGTTTGTTAGTCCCGGTCCAGCAGAGACTAGGGGGCAGATCGGCATCCTCAACAAGGATCACGGGCCAAAGAGGGGAGAAATCATTCCAGGTTCCTCAGGTTCTCACCTTGCCGTGGAAATAGCATTTTAATTGTATTCTTTGAAGCCTTATGTAAGCCCCAAGCATCTGTTCCAGACAACATCATTTGAAGGTTTCCATGCTTGTTTCTGTGTTGTGTACCAAGAAGTCTTGGAAGATGTGACTTGACTTTTAAAAGCCTCCAGAATGAAAAATAAATTTAAAAAAGCAGCTCTGTTCCCCCAAAGACCTAAAGGAAACCAAAACAGAGAGGGGAGAAGCTGAGTCTGAAAAAGCAATTCAACATGCCCCGTCTTTCCCGTCCTGCCCAGGCTCTGTGAGAGCAGGTGCTTGTGAGGACCCTCCTGGTGCCCTTGGGAGGGATCGTAGGAAAGCAGAAGAACAGAAAATACAGTTTGATCTTTGGAGAGAGCGCGGACTGTGTGTACTCACGGGGAGCAGCCCCTGAGGACTTTCTAAAGTTGAGCGGGCAGACAGCAGTGGTATGGCAGGCAGAATGGCCTTAGAGCCTTGACCCCATTCTTCCTGCTCTCAGGGAGTCCGTCCCTCCTCCCTGCTATGGGAATTCCCACAGGTGCATGGAAGTGCATGCCCACCGCCAAGGAGAAAGGCCGGGCAGACTGTGTTCACACTGCAACTGGAGAAACAGAATGCGTTCAGGCCCAGAGATCATACAGGGGTAACGTGGAGTTGGTACCACCCCTAGAGGATACCAGCCCAGCCACGTCAGCATGGATCCCGCAAGTGTTGGGAGCTGCAGTGAGGGACCCCTGCCGCCTCCCTGCCAGGGCAAGCCCCTGTGTCTTCGTGGTTAGTAAGCTTACCCTCAGATCTTTCCAAAATCTGCCTTTCTAAACATTGGACCAAATCCTATCAAAGTTACCTGCAAGCTAACCCCACTTACAATGGCCCACTCACCTCGCCACCCATGTCCCAGCCTAGGAAGATCTTCATTCAGTTATTTTCTGTCCCCTCCTGCAGTGTCTTCTGCAGGGAGACACGTCTGTGTGTTCTTACTGTTCCTACTTCATCTGTGCCACCTATGAAATGGGGTCCCTACCAGTTTTACCAGTCAGATCCCCTGACTTACTATGGGCACAGCACCTCAAACCCAAGAACTGATGGCAGGGAGACTGTGAGGCAAACCCCTGACAAGGGTCCAAGGCTTCCTGGGATCTGATCCAGCTCCTTCCAGTCTTATTCTGACAGTCACTCCAGAGCCCGGCATCCTGGCCACATGCCACCACTCTCCTCCCTCAGCGTGCCTTCACTCGCGGGGCTTATCTTCCCAGCGATAACCCCCTGCCCCTGCACTGGCCATTGAGCCATCATTCAAGGCCACATCAGGAAATAATAGCAATAATCATGGGATCTAGTATGTACTGAGTGGAGGCATTTTACGTAAGTAATTCATCTAATTCTCACCAATAAACCCTGTGAGGTCAGAGCTACTGTCTTATGCCCACTGTCTTTTCCTCAGGGGAGGAAATAAAGAGAGGACCACTTGCCCGAGAAGAACCAGGATTCAAGTCTCAGCAACCTGGCTACAGAGTCTGCAGGCTGCCTTTTCATCCAATGTGCTCTCTGCCACATTTCCTCTCTCCCTCCCCCAACCCCTGGTTCAGACTCAAGGTCTCTTCTTCGATACAGCCGGCATTTTGTACAACCATGTTCTACCACACTTACCTGTCTCTGTTATAGTGATTGGTTTACACATCTGCTTCTTCCATTAGCAGCTAGAGTATTAGCTATTTGGGTACAGGGACCACATCTTAATGAAGGTGAACCCTCAAAAGTGCGTATGGAAAAGCTATGTGGTACTATTATATGGTCATTTAAAACAACTAGTGCAGCTTTACTTAGAGCCAGGCACTAGAGAAAACAGAGAGATAACTGATAGGGGCACTGAAATTTCTGCCCTAACGTGTGTGTGTGCGCGTGCGCACACGTGTATAGCGGATTTCCTGGACAGAACGAAGACCAAAGTATGGATATGGGTGCCTCAAAGCAAAGCTCTCCTCAACCTAACATTTGGATTAGAGGAGCTCATTCTAATGGCTAGCTTGCCATTATGACATCTAAAAGCAAAATCCTCCCACCAAGGAGCCCTGTTCACTGATACAGAGCTAGCGGGTGTACTTCTCATTCCTTGTGGGAGAGATGGATGGAAGACCCAGAGTGGCTTAGTCGAGAGCAGAGTCATTGCCTCCAGCGCTCCTAAGCCAACCACATGGTCCTTCATCCTTAAATATGAAAGTATAGCCGGAATCATCAGACACCTGGGGAAAATCAGTACCTTGAGTACACAGAGAATAACAGATTCCATGGGAAACATAAGTATTTCAGAACTCATAGAACTCTAAAAAAAAATCTAATTAGCCTTCAAGAAGAAATGGCACCCATAAGACAAAAATAGAATAGAATACTATAAAAAAGGAACATCAAATAGTTTTAAAATAACAAATTACTACGTGAATGATTTGAAAGCCTTCCCCAAAAAGTAAAAATCTCCTCTCATAAAAATTTTGAAAAGAGATAAAAAATAAAAGACACAAAGAGTCCATCAAAGATAAAATGATAACAGGAGAAAAAAGGAGAAAAATTTTATTTTATCAATAAAATAATAGAAGAAAAATTTTCCTGGCTATAGAATACAGAAATCTTCAGATTGGATGTGTCTGCTGAATATTCAACACTGTGAATGGTTAAAGAAAAGAGACACATTTTTTTGTGAAATTTTAGGACAAAAAAAGAAAAAAGCATCCAAGAAGCTTCCAGAGAGAACAGACATCTACAAAATAAGAGATCAGAGTGTGAAGAGAAAAGGGCTGTGATTTCAGGCAATAGATGGGAAGGTTACTTTTAGTCCACAGAAAGATACATTGACTCTCGTGAAGGAGAAAAAAGGACAAGCAACAGAAACCCCAAAGGACTTTTAGAAATAGGGGCCTCTGGCTGGCTCAGTCGGTGGAGCATGCGACTCTTGATCTCAGGGTTGTGAGTTTAACCCCCATGTTGGGCCTAGAGCTTTCTTAAAAATAAATAAATAAAAGTTTAAAAAAGAGAGAGAGAGAAGGGAAATTTAAAAATAAAGTGCACAATGAAATCATGGTCCAAATTATTAAGCATGATTCTCTGATAAGAGTCTAAGAGGGGAGAAGCCATGTGAAACCCTACCTTCCTTCCCACTGGGCACCCTATTGCTGGTGGGACAGGAGCTGGGACACGAACCCACAGAGGACTGAACCCTGTGCCTCAAGGGGTCCTGCTACGACAAACACTAAGTCAAAATAGTGCAAACAGATTACTTGTTTTCAACCTTCAGAATCAAACCATATACAAACGAAATGCCTAAAATATGATTTTGAAATGGACTGTAAGTGTGGTCAATCTGATGCTGTAGCAATAGAGAGAGAGCTAGCAAGATGTGGAAAACAGGGTCTTTTACGTCTGGACTTGGGAGGCCCTACTTTGGTGATCAAAAGATTATTTGAAAATGGGCGGTCTCCGACCTTGTCTGAGATTTGAGTGGTACTGTGCCCAGGTGGCGCTG